AGACATGCACATTAACAAAAACAGGGGTTGTGCAGATAAAACCGATAGCTGTACTTTATATCTGTTCGTGCATGATGTTCGCTGTAGGTGGTTTCATATGTGAATTAGTTGTCAATAAGATGAACATATTTGAATCTTCATGTCATTATTAGATGAAGATCAATTTGAGATATTGTAGGATTTGTAACTCCCAATTAAAATATTTAGGAGTTACATAAGAATGACTAATGACCTAAATACCCTTATCATTAATATGTAAGTTACATTTTAACCAAACCCAAAGATGCAACATTACTGGTTGATGTGGGTTAGCAAAGTTTGCACAAAATATTGGGTTAGTATTTGAACCACCCTCTTTACTAATATATATATAATATCTTTAAAAAAAGTAACATTAAAATTTTAAAAAAAAATTATCCACTTTACCGCAACAACCCAAATAAAGCTTACGAAAAGTCTAGTTTATTTGTCAAAAACCATGATTTTAGTTGTATGATGTTCGAATTTTTTTTAGTTTTATATTGTAATCTAATACATTGTTTGTAATTGGTTTAGTATCATATTTGGTTATTTACTAAAATCGCCCTTTGGGGGGGAAGGATGGATTGTTAGTGTAGACGATTTGGTCGTAATGAGGGACGCGATCTTGCTACTGAGGGTAATGCAATTATCCGTAGTAACTGCATCCAATTTCTAAAAAAATCCCAAATATTCCATTCCAAAAATGGAAACATTTGGGATTTTTTTAGTGTTTGAGACATTTAAACTTAGATCTTTAAAAAAATTGTAATTTACTTTTAATTGTGAAAATTAACATATTGTAATTTTTTTCATATCGGTTTCGGGTTTCGGGTTCAGTTATAACTAACGATGAAAAAAAGAATTTTTACCCTTAACGGGTTCCCCAACGGGGATCGGGGAAACCGTGGGGACCCGATGGGGATCCCCGATAAGATCCCCGACGGGGATCGGGACGGTTTTAGCTATCGGTTTCGGGGACGGGAATACCAATACCCGACCCAAACCCGACCCGTTGCCATTCCTACTAATAACATTAAATGATCTAAAAATTGAAAAACTTTTTCTCACTTCTATGTCCCCCTCTCTCTTACTTTCTTTTTGTTTTTATAATTAATAAATAATAATTATTATTAGTTTATAGTAATTATAATTTTTATTTGTATTATATATTAATCAAATTTAAAACCAATAAATTGGAAAGCAATAAACCTTGTTATTTATAAAAAACAATATATATATATATATATATATATATATATATATACAGACCCGTTTCTGACATTTTTTAGGTCCTGAGTGAGATGTAAAAAGGGGCCCTCGATAAGTACGATATTTTTTCAATATATTGTTTTTATCATCAGAAATAACGTTGAATTCGTATTCATGGACGCATAATCAATCAATATTCATTTCTAAATTAATATTATCTACTAGAACATTTTTATGTAGTATCAGTAATTTGTTTCATCATCAAAAACATCTTATGATATACTTTTGGTACATAGAATATATCATTTGGAGTCACAAAGTCAATTTTTCTGATTTCCGAGTGACACTATGTAAATCAATATAAATAGGCTGGTTTTCCATGTCATCTCATGTTAATGTTTTTTAACATCATTTTAAACTTTTATATTATGTTTTCGAATTTGAGAAGATTAACACCATTTTAAACTTTTATATTATGTTTTCGAATTTGAGAAGATTAACACCATTTTAAACTTTTATACCATGTTTTCGAATTTGGGATGATTAACACCATTTTAAACTTTTATATTATGTTTTTGAATTTGGGAAGGAAAGAAAGAATGAGAAAAGAAAAGAAAAATATAAGGAAAGAAGAAAAATTAAGTTTTTTATTTGTGTATTTAATAGAGAATAGAGAGGAAGGAAAAATAATAAAATATAAATAAATTTTGATATAAATTTTTTCCTTTCCTTTTTCTTCTCTTTCTCTAAAAAATCTCGAGAATAGAATATTTTTCTTTCACCATTACTTTTCTCTCTTTCCTACGTAGAAGAAGACTCAAGAACATAGAGTTAAGGTTAAAACAAACTTTTATGGAATCATCAATTATATAAATTAAAAA